TGATTGTTACTAACTGCTACTTGCTCTGTTCTCCCTACTTGAAAAGGAGCAAATGGCTGTTGATGGCACTGATCTGCAGGAAAAGGTTTTCTAAAATACCATGCCTTTGACGGGCAGCCTTTATGCTACTCTTTGGCTTTTACCAATGTGTGTTGGGAAGCTAGCAGAATGGCTCTTGTGGTTGATGTGTCCTCAGTAGCCTCAGAGATTTTTTCCTTTTGGCTTTCGAGTTGTACTTCAAATATGTGGCTTTCTTAAGTTGGGTGGCACGGCTCAACATTCTGAGAATACTGGCTTTTAATGTTAAAAACTGAATTATCATTTGCATCCTCTTTTTACCAGTAAGAAATGTAGTCCTGTTATACAAAATACTTCACTTCTGATGATTTAAATTAAATGCAAGATATTGTGCTGGTCTTGGCCTCCCTAGTGTTACATAATTATTCAACTAACAAACACCCATGCCAGAATAGGCCGGTAATTGCAGCTCTGTTAAGAGAGAACTGATGTAACATCAGAATTCTGTACACTTTCCAATTTGTGATATGAATAGAGACCTGCTATTCAGACCTGTTAAAAGCAAGCAACACCATGAAGAACATTGGGTCAAGGTATCCTAGATGGAGTAATAAATAGAATAATTTAAGCAAGTCCTTATTAATATTGTCAGCAATAAATTGTGCATAGGGTAAGAAAGGAAGGGATGCTTTGTTAGAACTTGGCACAGCGAAGAGCATTTTGGACTTTAGAAGAGTTACCATGCGAGTGATTTATGTATAATACAAATGGCCAATTAACCACTTGCTGACCGGGGTGTTTGTACCCCCTTCCTGTCCAGGCCATTTTTCAGTATTTAGTGCTGCAGTACTTTGACTGACATTTATTCCGTCATGCAACGCTGTACTGAAATGAATTATACAATTTTTTGGGGACAGATAGAGCTTTCTTTTAGGGGTATTTAATCACCACTATGGGGTCTATTCACGAAGCTGCCGAAGGATCTAGCCGTAGCTTCAGCCGATCCTTTGGCTAGCTTTGGCCCCAGGAGTAGAACCGAAGAGGTGCTGTACGGGCTATTCACTATAGCCCGTACAGCTCCCGAACGTGGCCGAGCGGCTCAGTCGAGCCGAACGCATATGCATTGGCTCGGCTGAGCCGCGCTGAAAGCCGAAGCTATTTATTCTGACACCGTGTCAGAATAAAGAAAAAAAAAGATAAATCAGTGTTTCTCTCCTGGGCGGCCGGGATCGGGAGGCTCCCAGAGCGCCCGGGAGATTTTTTTTTTTCTTACGGCAGCAGAGCCGCCGGACATTAGAAAACTGTTGGGACATTAGAAAACTGTACAAGCCTGAAGTGAATAGCTGAACAGTGTTCGGCTCACTTCACTTGGGGTCGGTTGTTCCTCGGCTGCCCTCGGCAGCTTAGTGAATAGACCCGTATGGGTTTTTTGTTTTAATATATAATTAAAAAAGTACCGAAAATGTTTAAACAAAAACCTGACGGGGTCACGTCGGGTAAATAGACACCAAACATGTCAAGCTTTAAAATTGCATGCACCCGCTAAATCGCAAAAAACTACCATACCCAAAATTGGCCATAGCCGATGCTTTAAAAGCTTTTACCGCTCATCAGTTTAGTGTTATCAGTGATTGATGGCCCTAGAATTATTGCTCTCACTCCGACGTTCGCGGCGATATGTAACATGTGCAGCGCAATGGATGTAACATAGGCGGGCTCGACGCATGTTTGCGTGTGCATGTGGAGCGGGGGACTTTAATTTTTTTTATTTTTAATTGCTTTGATATGTGACTTTTAATTTTTTCATTTTTTTAAAACTTTTTTTTCACTATACTTTATTGCTATCACATAGCGAGCAAACAAGCTCCCTATGTGATAGCCAATTTGCAGTGACAGGTCCTCTTTATGGAGACATCAGGGGTCTTTAAGACCCCTAATGTCACCTAGGGACCCCCAGAGAAGCTGATGAAGTAGGCACCTGCTTCACCAGCTTCTCTCCGGTTTCTGTACCGGAGAGTGACAGAGGAATGCGGAAGTGATGTAATACACATCACTTCCTGTATTCCGAAGAGGAGGAGATCAAACGGAGCTCGTGTACTGAGCTCTGTTTGATCTCCAGCCGTAGAGCTGCTGTGCTGGTCCCGGGCTCACATCGGGAGCAGCGGAGCCCGGGATCGTCAGCAATTAAAAGCGATCGGGCGTCTCTACAGATGCCTGAATGCTTGTATGCTGGCTGTTTACATTGAAAGCTGATTTCCCGTTCGTGCGCGATGCCTAGTGGCGGGCACGAGCGGGGCGGGATGGGACATTTAAAAACGCCCACCCGCATTCAAGAAGCCGCTGGCCGGCCGTTTAATTACAAGCAGTGGAGCCCGGGATCGCCACCACAGGCTGCGGCGGCATAGCTGGCTGTTTACATTGAAAGCTGATTTCCCGTTCGTGCGCGCCACCAGAATATTTAATCATATGAAGGGAGCTATGGGTAGTTCCCCCAGAATTTGTAAATTGCAGGCAGTGACTGGAGTCACGCAGCACAGGGTCACTATGCAACTTTGAGGGTTTCCTAGATTCCGAGATCGGAGGGGGCATATATAAAAATCCCATCAGCCACTCCCACTGGCGAGCGGGAACCTGCCCAGAAAGGGGATCAGAGGGAGATCGGTATACGATCTCCCTCCGGTCCTCTCTCTGGTGTCAGAATATGTAAGTGATGTATATTACATCATTTCCGCATTCTTGTGACACTCTTTTTTTAAAGTCTCCACCCATACATACACGCATGCAAACATGCATGGGGCGCATATACGTGCGAAAACGACGATTGCGCCCATTATGCCGCACATGTTACACATCGCCGCGAACGCCGCAGTGAGAGCAATAATTCTAGGGCCATCAATCACTGATAACACTAAAGTGATGGGCGGTAAAAGATTTGATCACCTATGGACAATTTTGCGTATGGTAGTTTTTTGCGATTTCGCAGGTGCGCACACTTTTAAAGCTTGACATGTTTGGTATCCATTTACCCGACGTGACCCCTTTTATATTTTACCAAAAAATTAAGTAATAATAATTGTATTTTAACATAATGTAAAATATAACTTTTTTTCTTCTTCAAAATTTTCAGTAATTTTTCCTTAAAGGAGAACTATGAGGTGAGTGCTTTTCACTCATCCTCATAGTTCTAGCCGACATGTGACAATGAAACTGTCACAGGTCGGCTCAGTAGATGGGGAAGTGAGCAAACACATACCGGCGTTTGCTCACTTCTCGATCCTGTCACGGCAGAAAACTGACAGGGGAGCGACTGGATTCCCCTCTCCACGCTTCGATCCGCCAGCGCTGACTGGTGGAATGGACGGGGGAGGGGGCGGGTACAGATAGGCAGAGCCAGCTGTCAATCACGCAGCTGGGCGGATCCAGACATAATTGTCGGGATCTGATTCAGCTGTGGCGTCTCAGTATACCGCGAGCTGTTCTCCTTTAATATAGTTCTCCTTTAATATAGTAAAAAAATAAAAACCGCAGTGGTGATTAAATACGACCAAAAGAAAGCTCTATCTGTCCCCAAAAAGTGGTATAAAATGTATTTCAGTGCAGCGTTGCACGGCGGAATAAATGTTAAAGTACTGCAGCGTTAAATACTGAAAAATGGCCTGGACAGGAAGGGGGTGTAAACACATGGTCAGCAAGTGGTTAAAGCAAATTTCCCTTGCAGGGGTTTCAGCATCACATCAACACATATTTTTTTCACAGGCATTGGCCTGGTATTTGGACTCCTCAGTGTCTGTTTCCGCCCAGACTAAAGCTTTCCCATCAGGCATCAGCCTGGTCAAAGGGCTCAATTTCAAAGCCAGAACAGATACTCCCGTACTGTCTGTTCATACACAAACATGCTTGCTCCTGTAGCACAATTATGGAGGAAGGCGCACTGGTTACCAGTCTGATTGTCCTTTTGTGGGAAAAACACCCACCTGACATTCAGTCCCATACCTGCTCCGAGAACCTTTACAGACTAGAACATGCCAAATCTGCCTCTTTACGCAGTGGCACAGCGCACAGTGCTACAAAAAATAGGTATACTCACCCGAACCACTGAGCCAGCTGCTTGCTTCTCTGGTTTCTGAAGCCTGTGTTCTCCTACACTGCAGCATTGAAATGTTCTTCAGCGTCCTCACGTCTATGCACTGTTTATAAAACATGATTTACATGACCTAAAAGGTGCCCATACACTGCTCGATTCTCGTACGAGAATCGGGCGAAATCCCGCGATGGTACGAGAATCGAGCAGTGTGAGCGAAGACGTGCGACCGTTTCTACTGTACGGTCGCACGTCTTTTGTCGAGCCAACATGTTCGAAAACCCGCCGAGAATCGTACGATTGTTGGCGGGTTTCTAGCCTGCTCATCCGATAGCTGCGGAACGGGCCGGTGTGCGCATGCGCACACTGCCCGTTCTGCATTGCGGTCATCGGAAGCCCGCCCCTCCGCGGGGTGGGCTTTCGATGATCGCAAGTACGATCTGCCCGTCCAAGGTGGGCAGATCGTACGAGCTTTCAATATGCATACGACCATCGCAAGACAAAAGTCTTGCGATGGTCGTAAGGTGTATGGGCACCTTTAGACTGCTGCAGGGAGGTGGGGACAGGCTCCAGGGACTGGTGTAAGAGCAAAACAGCTCGAAGGATCAGGTGAGTAATTTTTTTTTTTAAACAATCAGTTAACCCTTGCAGAGAAGGGGGTAGCCCCACTTAAAGAGTTAATATACATATGCCCAGAGTTCTGCTTTAACTTTTCTACCTGCACTAGAACAATAACAGGTAAAATTTAATGGTTTAGTACAACAAGACAACACAGATCCTTTTTCTCTCACAAAATGTGCAGGCATAATGCCCTATCTGCAATAACATCATTGTTCCAGCCATAGTTATTCAGTTAAATATTTATTTGAAATCAAACAACATGAAAACAGTGATTGCTTACCACAGTAATCTTCATCAGCCCCATTCTCACAGTCTTTTACACCGTCACAGTGAAACGCACGTGGAAGGCATACGGTAAGATTTCCACATGGGAAGTAGCCCATCCTGCAGACAGAATCTGTCAAGGAATCTACAGTGATGGAGAGAGAGAACAATCATATTGTTATTGGCTGAGAAGTCTTTTAGATTCCTTTATTACTGCAATTACTCAAAAATGCCGAACATTCAGAAGTTAATTATGTTTTTGTCAGATATAAGGATAAGCAGACAGACCCGATTCTTCTATATCTGTTATTGGACACTACCAAATAAACTTTGTGATCTTTTTGCAGCTTCCAACTAGGAGGAGGTCATTATGGTGACATAGCGCAGGCATGGGGGATAATATCTCTCAGATGATTTTGGAAAGTCTCAGAATTTCCAGGAAGACTTGCAGACTATTGCAATAAGGCAGTACAAGGGACAATGATGATGGGTCCAGAGCTCACTTTCATAAATCGAAATATCATTGGTTACTGGCACTCTAGAAACGTATATTATTTCAGTGAATTGTTTGGGAAAACCTCATATGCATGGAATGCATGGATTGGAGGAATTGCATATTTAGGAATGACTGTGACAGTGAGTATCACCGTGAGTGGGATAGGGGAGGCTCCTGTACTTATATTATTGCAGTTCCTTTCATATTATATAGTATATGTGGGATCCATACCTTTGAAGCATGGAAGATTCAAGGTTAACCTCCACCGAGTGCCCATTTCCCTTTTGAAAAAACTGTGAGCAATTTATCAAGGCTGGAGCAGACCAAATCTGGAGCAGTTGTGCTTGGCAACCAATCAGCTCCTCTCTTTTATTTTCAAAGCTTAACTGGACAAACTGAAGAGAAAAGCTGATTGGTTGCCATGTGTAACTGCTCCAGATTCTGTCTGCTCCAGTTTTGATAAATTCGCCCCAATGTGTTTATTGGTCACTGAGACGGGAACGGGATAAATGAGTTTCTGACAGACACACAGACAGATGATCTCTGGCTAGCAAATGTAGTCTTCAGGTATCCTCTCCTGGGCAGAACTTTTATTTAAAAGGAGCCTATTTCGAACTAACAACATCACGAGAGCTAAAAAATTTAGTGTCTCTGTTGTCCATACCAACCAAAATTTTATCTTTTATTTTCTAGTGTGACTTACAAAATGGCATATGGTCACAGCTTTTGATACGTGAATCTGGGATTCCTACGTTAGCACTTACAGCACTGGCGGAACTACCAGGGTCGCAGCGGTCGCAATTACGACCAAGCCCTGGCGTTCTGCCACTTGGGGGGGGGGGAGCGAGGAAGAAGAGGGCCCCCTCGAGAACGAACCGCTTCTTCCTTGCTGCACAGCCTTCCGCAGCATGTACAGGCGGCTGTGCGGCGGGGAGGGAGAGGCTGTCACTGGTCCCGCAGAATGTGCTGCAGGCACCGCCGGGCAGCACATTCTGTTGTGTGAGGACTCTCTCCTCTCAGCTCCACAGATTAGCCTCTCCCTATTGGAATGGCAGCTCTGTTTCCAGCATGGTGTAAGATTTCTTGGTTTGTCAATGCGTTAGGCTGTGAGCTGCACAAATTGTTACATTTGAATGACTCATCCGAGTTTGTGCAAATCTGTCATTCCATAAGAGTCTTGACCAACTAAACTAGAGTCTTGACCAAGTAGAGAATAAAGCAAATCTAATGACCATCGATTAAGGGTATCTATGGTCAAAAACTACAAATAAATCTGTATTTCTATATTGATTTTCTATCCTACTTTGAATAACCATATCCATCTAGAAGTTTGTAAACTTGCTTATTGAAGATGCCCATAGGAACACATCAAACAGCAGGGAAAGAGATGTAAAACACACCGGGAATCCAGGAAGTTGTAGAAAGTGATGGGCAGACGAAAGGCAGCACTCACTACATACAAAACAAGAAAAAAAATGAACTGTCTTACAGGTGAAGGCAGTTCAAGTAAGCAACGGGTAACCAATGGGTAACCAACGGCAGGGACAAACCACAATGACAATTTTTTAAGAAAATTTACTTTATTTCTAATCAAAAACGTAAAAAAATTGCTGAACACATAGCTGACAGTTTACTGTCAAATTATTAAAAACGATGTCTAGTCAAACTGACTTTGGTCAGTGGTTGGTTGGATATACCTGACCTTGATTGGCTGTACATGTATCCCTTATGGTTGTAAAGTCTATTGATCGTTTAGGGTTTTGATACTTCAATGTATCAAGACATTTCTATTTAGTAACGATAACTAAACATGTCCGGCAATCTCCGGGTCATCCAACTAGTCTTTAAGAGTGGCGTCTACGCGTTTCGCCCCTCCTCTTGGGGCTTCCTCAGGACGACGAAGCCCCAAGATTGCCGACTGTACAGCCCTAATATTTGGATAAAAAGTAACGTGTGGATCTACCCAACAGCACTAGTGTTTTCTGGATCATCAATACCTGGTTATCCCACCAACTAAGGGAAACCAAAAAGACATCCAGTGATCAAAAACCTACAAACATCTTCACTCGGGGGAAACCCGTGAACGGAAAATCGAAGGACTGACCGAGAGGTCATGTGAGTAGATCTGCTGTTCGGTTTCAACATGAACCAGCAAAAAACTTTAAGTTATAATCCAAAACATGAAATAACGAAACATCTGAAATGAAGTGAAACAAATTTTTGACGATTTTTTTTCTAACCTGTATTATACATTATATATGGACGCTGAAGAATAGGTGTATGCATGCACACTCTGCATATCATCGCTGTTTCCACTTGGTAATTGTAGCAAGAGACGGTGTGGGTCATAGAACAAGGTAATAGGCTTGTCCCATGCTTCACATACAGGGCCCGATTTGAGGCAACTGACCTCATGTATGGAGTGCATGACTGATGCAGTACTAGTTAGTCACATTCAACTGGACTTGATCTGTAATTTTGAAGATGTTCTTCGGTTGCAATAAGTGTCAGCAACGGTGGTGTATGAGGCCCACTGTTAGGTTAGTGTAATTCAAATACCGCCCTGGGAACAGCATTTGCTGGCTGCTCTGTAATGGGAGGAATTCTAGCCAATACATCAAATCAATACTTATCCCATCTTTCCCTTGCCAAAGTCTCTTAATTAATTTCATTACATTTGCAGCACACTTTCCACATTTTATTAATGAAAAAAGGAAGGAAAGGAAGGAAGGGGGCTCACAGTAAATAACGGGCAGACTCTTTATGCTTTTTACTGAACATCGCTTTCATCAAACGGCAAGCACCATAAATTATAAACAGGAATGCAGAATACGTCCATTAGATTACATCTAAAGCTAGCTAATAAACATTCCCCTTGAGTAAATGTTATATAAATATAAAACTGTAAGTTCCTTCAGAGTAGATTTAGGCTTTGTTAAGATCTGTCACTAGCAATGCTTTTGGCACTGTTTTATGGCAGCTGCAAGAAGCACATCAGATGTCAATAAAGGACATTTATATATAGATCTATCTATCTATCTATCTATCTATCTATCTATCTATCTATCTATCTATCTATCTATCTATCTAATTTCCTAAATTATGGGTAGTCTCCCTGTGGGCACCTAGTTTTACACCTCTCCCCCTAATTACATAGTTTCACAAAGCATAGGGGAATACAAGGGTTTCTGGAGGGGTGTAATGACCGTCCAAGAGAGATGTGTTAAAAGAATTTTCAAAATTTATTGCTGTTACATACTGGTATAATTACATACATGATTTAAAACAATCTTAATAAAAATAAAACAGAACCCTGCAGAGGATGTGTTTGTATAATCATTATATTAAATAGCTCTAAAATTCATTTGATCCGACATATCATAGTATTAATATTGTTCAGATATGGTTACATTCTTATACAACAGATGTGGTTATCCTAAGCGTGGCTTATCTTAATAGGTCCCGACGCGTTTCGCCATAGGCTTCATCAGGGGACCCACTGGAAATGGATCTATTGGTAAGAATCCGACTCCCTGATTTGGCGGCGAGGGGTATATAATAGGGGGGGAGCTGAGGCTAGGTCAGTCCAGCGGAGATTGGACGTCACAGCCAGCCTTTTGACTCCAGGTAAGAAAGCCATAACCACATGAACCACGGTTATCGATTTGACATATAAGGACAATGGGGTATTTTATGTACTTAATCGATCGGGCAAACATGGAGATAGAGTACAACTAAAAACAAGACAAAACACCAGGAACCATGGGTTAAGGACAGGGGCTGGGGCTTCCGATTTATAACTTATCTATGAGCACTGATAGGACACGTACCCTTGAGGTACATACAATTAATCATTCATTAAGCTATTACACAATTGAATACACCTATGTGGAATACACAGACTCTACACGTTGAATGATGTTTAAAACAGCCTGATGGATGCACATCCCATCACATGAAGGAGATATACATGCATGAATATACATATATATAGACACAGAGAGATTCTCTTTGTTTTTTGTCCTTTGTTTTCAATTTACCACTTGGCACTTTTCAGTGACTTTTGCCACAAGTAATTTGAAGTGAGCACTTAACATGAAACCTGACACGGGGCAGGTTCAGTATTATATTAGTATTTTTCTTGTTTTGGGGTTTTCTCAACCCCCTTTTAAAAAATCCCCTTTCTGTCCCCACACAAATCCCACACATTTATACACATATCTGACAGCAATTGGGGCAAACATTTTCCACACCTAGCTCTAATGCCAATTGGGAAAAGTAATATAATCTAAATTAAGAAGCACCTCTACTAGAAAATTAAAAGTAACTAAATTAAGCCATATAAGCATTCAGATGAATTGTAAAGAAGGATTGTTTAACGACATACAAGACTTGATACATGCCCAATTGAACGTTTGAAAATAGAGAGACCCAACAATAATAAAAATACCCTAATTACATAGTTTCACAAAGCATAGGGGAATACAAGGGTTTCTGGAGGGGTGTAATGACCGTCCAAGAGAGATGTGTTAAAAGAATTTTCAAAATTTATTGCTGTTACATACTGGTATAATTACATACATGATTTAAAACAATCTTAATAAAAATAAAACAGAACCCTGCAGAGGATGTGTTTGTATAATCATTAT